GATACAATGATTTGACTCCTTGCTTCAAGAACAGCCATTGTCCATGATTGCAAACCCACTTCTTATTTATTCATTTAGTGCAAACAAGAGAACTCTAATAAAATAATGATAAGCAATTAAAGAGTGGTATTGTGAAAGTCAAGATAAATGTGGAATGCAGGGTGATTGACCAAGCATTTTTCAGAACAGAACTGTCTTAATGTCAAGCTTCGGAATAAGAAGCATGTACAAATTAGGTTTGCAAACATACTGTAGCCGCTGGTGATAGCTCTGTATATTTGTTCCTCGGTGTTCACTAATACATGGACTGGATTTCTAGCTCCTTTTCTTTCTTTTTTTTATTTTAATCCATGCATTTTTGATGATATAGTTGACCCTGAATACATCAAAAGGGAATTTTTAAAACAATCCTGACATGTCTTTTAAAATAAACCCAAACATTACCAACATTTTCTCTTTAGTAAGAAGAAAAAAGAAAAACACGGCTTAAAATAACACCTTAAAACAAACGTATACTTCAGAATCTAAGACTTGATGTTCTCCATAAAGAGCAGCATAAATCTAATCTAATCTTTCTCCTTGCAGCAGCTCAATTGAAAAGTTACACTGAATACAAAAATGAGACTTCCTTTATGTTATAGGTTAGTCACTCTATGAGAATAAGCTTTTTTTCTGGGGAAGAATTAGTTGAAGGCAGCAGAAAATGAGTTACATGACAAAGCGAAGCGAGATAACTTACTAGAAGCAATTTTTTTGTTATCATCTTTATTACAGGTTATTATAGGCAGCTTCCTTACCCATTCAAGTTTTGTACTCTCTTTGTCTTCTTTTTATTGTATCTTATTGCTAGGGGGTTTAAAAAAAGGTTCAGTCCTTTCAGCCAACAAAAGCCTGCTCTGTGTGTGAAACCTTTCAAACACGGTTCAAAGAAGTCTAATCTTACTTTCAGATTTTGACACAATCAGTGTGAAATAGAAAAGAACCTCTGATGAAAAGGATCAAAGAATAATGTCAAATTTGATTTAGACATCTAATAAATCTGGATATTAGTTTGATGGTAGTTTTTCTTTTTTCATCTTTCAATAAATTCCATCTATGATCTTATTCAGGCCAGTAACTTTTGATATACATCCTTCTGACTGCAGTAGTTTCATTCCTGTTTTTTTCTTTTTTCATTATTCCTAAATAATGAATTATATTGTAACAGGCAAAATAGTATTTACAAATATTTACATCAGTTTAATTGAAATATTTGTATGTACTTATTTTTATATTTTTACATCTGCAACAACCATGCACTCCACATGTACAGTAGAAACCAAAGCAACTACTGTAAGTCAAAGGGACTAAGCATTAAAGATAAAAAAAAAAACAGGTGTAAACAGTATAGAAAAGCAGAAAATCCGCTGAAATCAGTCAGTATTTAAAAACCATCCCTGAGGCTATGTGCAAATATGAAACACCACAAATATGACATAATGTGAGAATTGTGTCAGTTTAATATAGAGTGTTATGACATCTACTACGGTTTTTTTGATGTTCATAGAAAAGCACAGCAGGAACCTTGTGTTACATTTTTCATAACGTTCACTTAAACAGAGGAAAAAAAGGACTTCCACTTTAATCAGTCACCTTGTCACAAGTCTTTGGGTTGTCCTGGATCCAACTGCAACTAAAGAAACCCAGAACATATATGGTTGTAGGGGTTATAGTTATTAAACTTTTCTTTAAGTATGATTTACTGTGTGCATGGTTTAGTCTCTGTGTTAAAATGTGATAGACTGCCGACCTATTGAGGGTGTATGCAGGCTCTTATCCCATGACAAAACCCAGCACCCCCAAGACTATGCAATAATAAGCTAGTATAGATGATGGATGGATGACTTTGTCAGGAAAGGTGCATGAACAAATACCCCAGTGGCTGTCTGTACATGGATGGATTTTTTCATTTAAAACACATTACTTATTTTGTATGTGTCCTCTGTTGTAATTTGCTTTAATATTTGTGTGATTGTGTGATATGGTAGTCATATTTCTTAAGCAACTATGGTCCTAAAGGTTAAATGACTAATTTTTTTATCAGTTAGCATTTTTTAAAATTAACATTCAAACTCTCTAATAGGTTCATTAATAACCAGTGTAGGACATTTATTTTGCAAAAAGCCTATGCAAACTAGATTAGAGTCCAACATATATTTTCTGTACTCGATTAGCATAACGTATACACTCCCCTCCAATTTTCAACATTCAGACAATAAGGAACATACAGGTGCTGGTCATAAAATTAGAATATCATGAAAAAGTAGATTGATTTCAGTAATTCCATTTAAAAAGTGAAACTTGTATATTATATTCATACATTACATACAAACTCATATATTTCAGATGTTTATTTTGTTTAATTTTGATGATTACAAATGACAACAAATGAAAATCTCAAATTCATCATATCAGAAAATTAGAATATTGTGAAAAGGTTCAAAATTGATGGCCCCTGGTGCCACACTCTAATCAGCTAATTAACTCAAACCACCTGCAAAAGCCTTTAAATGGTCTTTCAGTCTAGTTCTATAGGCTACACAATCATGGGGAAGACTGCTGACTTGACAGTTGTCCAAAAGACGACCATCGACACCTTGCACAAGGAGGGCAAGACACAAAAGGTCATCGCTAAACAGGCTGGCTGTTCACAGAGCTCAGTGTCCAAGCACATTAATAGAGAGGCGAAGGGAAGGAAAAGATGTGGTCGAAAAAAGTGTACAAGCAAGAGAGATAACCGCACCCTGGAGAGGATTGTGAAACAAAACCCATTCAAAAATGTGGGGGAGATTCACAAAGAGTGGACTGCAGCTGGAGTGAGTGCTTCAAGAACCACCACACACAGACGTATGAAAGACATGGGTTTCTGCTGTCGCATTCCTTGTGTCAAGCCACTCTTGAACCACAGACAGCGTCAGAAGCGTCTAAAGAGAAACAGGACTGGACTGCTGGTGAGTGGTCCAAAGTCATGTTCTCTGATGAAAGTAAATTTTGCATTTCCTTTGGAAATCAAGGTCCCAGAGTCTGGAGGAAAAGAAGAGAGGCACTTCATCCACGTTGCTTGAAGTCCAGTGTAAAGTTTCCACAGTCAGTGATGGTTTGGGGTGCCATGTCATCTGCTGGTGTTGGTCCATTGTGTTTTCTGAGGTCCAGGGTCAACGCAGCCACATACCAGGAAGTTTTAGAGCACTTCATGCTCCCTGCAGCTGACCAACTTTTTGGAGATGCAGATTTCATTTTCCAACAGGACTTGGCACCTGCACACAGTGCCAAAGCTACCAGTACCTGGTTGAAGGACCATGGTATCCCTGTTCTTAATTGGCCAGCAAACTCTCCTGACCTTAACCCCATAGAAAATCTATGGGGTATTGTGAAGAAGAAGATGCAATACACCAGACCCAACAATTCAGAAGAGCTAAAAGCCACTATTAGAGCAACCTGGGCTATCATAACACCTGAGCAGTGCCACAGACTGATCGACTCCATGCCACGCCGCATTGCTGCAGTAATACAGGCCAAAGGAGGCCCAACTAAATACTGAGTGCTGTACATGCTCATACTTTTCATGTTCATACTTTTCAGTTGGCCAACATTTCTATAAATCCTTTGTTTTTATTGGTCTTCAGTAATATTCTAATTTTCTGATATGATGAATTTGAGATTTTCATTTGTTGTCATTTTTAATCATCAAAATTAAACAAAATAAACATCTGAAATATATGAGTTTGTATGTAATGTATGAATATAATATACAAGTTTCACTTTTTAAATGGAATTACTGAAATCAATCTACTTTTTCATGATATTCTAATTTTATGACCAGCACCTGTAAATCTTCTGAAAGACCAACATAATATTTTCTGAAAATCAGTCAGTGTGAGAGCCATAAGGCATCTACTTGGGATCAGTGCACAGACTGCAGGTTCTGCTAAAAGACTGTTGTATTTCTAGGCTTTATTTAAAATCCATGGATATTAATGTAGCTATTTGCAAATCCTATAACACCAGAAACTGTTTTTGCAAATCATAATTCTGTTAAAGTAAAGGCGTCTGTTTACCTAAATTGGCACAACCACATTTTGTTGTGATACAGTTACCTGTATTAACCTAAGGCATTCTGTGGTGCTGAAGTGAAAGTCCATCCAATTTTGTATTTCATTACAAATCAGAGCAAATAGCTTTGCCAATAGGAAGGGGAGGAAAAATAGTTTGCTCTACAAAATGGCAGTGCTAATAATATAGAAGAAAAGGGGGAAAGGTAATCTGCTTAGACCAGACACAGAGGTTTGAATTTCTGTTCACTTCCATTGGGGTAAACTTATAGAAGGCTTCTTTGTGTTATTCTCTGATACCCTATCGAGTATTTTCACAACTTGTGTTCGTTGTTTTTTTTTTGTTTTTTTTTGCTATCTTTGTGGGTGGACTTGTTTTTATGACAGTGTGAGGAATTTAATGCATTTTACAAAGCCATGTCATGGTGACCTATGTCCTTATGGGGACTAAAATCCTACTTTTTTTAAATTTTAAAGTTCTTTTCTTTGAGAAAAGAAAATAACTTTAGACTTTAATTCTGGCTTAGTTTTAGGACTGAAGTGTGAATTCCATTCAGGTAAGGATTAGGCTTAGAGCTAAATAACTGTTGAAGTGAAATCTTTAGAAACTTTTGGAAGTACAAGGAAACTTTTTTTGTAGACAATGCATTTTGGCTCATGGCCTTTAGCGTGAATATTAGAAAACATCAAATAGTTTGAGTTTTATATATTAATTATATGCAGCAATTACTCATTTTCACATAAACAGGATAACCAAGAAGCATTGAGAGAGATTGTAATTGGTAACTGGTAGAGCCAGAGCTCAAATAGGCTCTTATTGTTGAAGTGTTTCACCACAGAGTTTAGCAAAAAGAGTTTGGAAATAAATCCCTTAATTTATTTCCTTTTGTCTTTCTGTTTTTGACTTACCTCGATCGCTGTCGTATAGATAGGCAAACTTGTCCCACTTGTAGTACTCAATAAGGCTGAGGAGTGGCCCCCTGATATCAGGCCGCATCTGGATAATGAACTGTTGATTCCCATCCAGAGGAAAGCTAGGCGTTATGAAGGAGACATGTAGAGTGCCACAAAACGATGTAATGGTGTTGACAGACTTCTTATCGTAGAACCCAAATATGGCGTAGACTCCTCTCGAGAACTGCGAACAGACTAAAAAAAGAACAAAAATGTGAGGTAATTTTGTTTATAGTTGATCTCACCTATATTTTAGACTGATTAGTTACCTATACTGAATTCAGGGAGATGATCTTTAATGAATAAATCTTTTTTCTGTATGTTTTTATAAATATGGTGGTTTTCATTTCTTATGCATTTCATAAGACACGGTTTAAACTCAAGACAATGTTAACTTTTACTACATTTTAGAGTTAAACCCGAGTACAAGTCTTTTCGTCTTTATCTCGTCTTATCTTTTGTCTTTTATTTTCCAAAAAACCCAAGCATCGGCTATATCTCAGGATTTGTTAGAAATAATCTAGAATAATAATTAAATAACTAAGCAAAGTGTTAGTGATTACTGAATATAAGATTCCATTTTTAATATAATCTTCAACAAATCCATTGGTGCCATAGCACATTATAGTGCATACATTCCAACTTTCCCAATCTGTTTATTGTAACCAGATTGTCATTTTGGTAACCTAGTAAAATATTAGTCAGGTAGACATGCTACAGTGTAGCTTTTAAAGCCTCCAGCATTTATAAAGGAAAGATAGGAGAACAGGTGAAGTCTTAAAGAAAAACAAAGAAAAAACAACCCCTGAGTAAACCAGAGGCTCCTGCCTTTTTCTCCAACATCACCCAGCAGATTGGGACGTTGATTTTAATTGTTTATTGATCAAATTAAGAGTAAATTAGGGCTATTGATTTAGACATGTGTCTCTTGCTTATGCAATCCAGTGAGTAATTTCCTTTGACAATATTGCATAGAAACTTGCTGACAGCAGAAATGGAATACATTTATGTTAAAGGAAAGTTTATGAATGTTTTTTTATATATATGTTGTTATGAATGGATACTTAAGAATCTGAATCTTGTTACTATTTTTTATAATAACTGATAACAATTGACCATACAAGGATAAAACAGGCATAAAAGAAAATAAATGTTACATATTTTTCTCATATGTTTTCAAAAATGTGTTTTCACTAAGCATTTTCATTATAAAGTTTTGGTAAACGGCACCGTAAACAGCCTGCATGATAAATAAAACATATTTGCTTCATTTCATTCCTAATAAGGTTAAGGAAGTTAGAAATCAATAGGCTGTAAAAACATAACATTCACAATGGCTGAAAATGCAGCAATATCCAACTCTTCTAGTTCACTGCTCCAATGTTTATAGCAGCTACAGCCTGATTTAAAGATTAACCCTGAAGGTGTAGAATTATTACACTGGCTCAGATTTAACTACTGCATTTAATTTCCACTTTGCTTAAATAGTATAGTTCAACAAAACAATTTTCTTCAGATGCTGATATGTTTGCTAAAGAGCACCGGTTGCATGAACCTCATTGAACATTTATTTTATTTTTTATTTTTTTTTACACTTTAGCAGCACAATATTTTGAAGCCTGTGTGTCCATGCTTACTGTATTGTGATGAGAGACGTTCCTCTGCTGTCACTTTTGCTGGTTTGATTGCTGGCTTTGCCCAGGATTAAAACTCTCTAAGCTTATGCTTAGAGACTGGATATCCCCACGACTATGCTGTGGCTTATCCCAGAGCAAATTCTATGACATTTTACTTTATTACCAAATATGGCATTTCCCAGTCCTAGCATTGAATGCATGTGTTCAACAAGGGTTCAGAGGGTCTTTCTGGCTCCAAAATGACACTGTACTAGAATGTCAAAGACTTCTATGTATGCTTCATCAATAACAAGTTCAAAAACTTTTAATTAAAGAAGAAAAGCCAAGAACAAACTGTAAATCCTAGGAGCAGGGAGGACTACAGAAAAGCTATTAAGCTTCTGTTACATCTGACTGATTTTCAGGGAAACTCACTATTCATTTTTAGAAATCCAGCTCCAAACAGAAAATAGGAGACTAGCTAAATCTCCTTTTCTCCTCCCAAAGAGGTCATTGCAATTAGAAACAAAAGCAAACTCCCCTGGACCTGTTAAATGCAACAAAAAGACATGATTTCCTCTTTGTCGTTCTGTTTTTAAAGATAACAATTCCCATAGTCTCTGCAAAAATGTGAAAAAAGTTCAATTATTTTCTAATCCCAACAATAGTGGTTAAAATATAGCATGGTTAGATAATGATATGTTTTCATGTTATAAAAAATGCAAGCCTGCAGTTATTCAAGTTCAGATTTTTTTTAACTAGCTTTGCAAAATAAGTTGCACAGTTATCTAATGAAAAGCAAAAGCAATACTGAACAAACAACTAGAGTGAAATGGCTGCCTCAGAGAGCTGTTATACACTGATGGTCACATTTTTTGGCACCTATTAAACATTAGAATGTCATCTTTTATCACAGCGCTAAAATGTAATACTGCCTTTTTATTTATTCATCTGTTTTTTCCAACGGTGGTTGGATTACATAATATTATTTCTGCCACTTGGTTCAAAAAGGACCATTAAGTTTGTTGCTACCGCACAGTAAGTGTGACATATGGGTGGTAAAAATTTCTTCAAAGCTTTATGATGCAGAACTCCAGCAAAGAGTAAAATCCTGGGGTCAAGAAATTACTATAGTACCCTTAGATAACAGCTTTAGAAATATGTACGAAAAAGAACTAGTAGTCTTTATCATCATTATGTCACCATATAGAAAACAGCTCATATATTATCAAATAAAAAAAATTAAAAACACTATCAAAAAAAAACAAAAACAAAAACAAGCATCCTCAAATGAGAATTCAAAAATGTTAAACAAAAAAAAGCGTTGAATATGGCAGGTACTATTTAGTATTTACATAAGAATAGCTTGTGCTGAAATGGGCTAAAAATGGGCTGGAGGTTTATTTGATTGACTCTAGGGGTGTTTAGTGACTGCCTGTCACAGCTTTGGAAAAGAGATTCCTTGAGTCTGTGTTCTTCTGTTCGCTCCTAAACACTTCTAATGTCCTTCCTCCCCTGTGCCTTTCAGCTCCCAATCTTCACTGTCATGCTACAACCTTAAACAGTCAGGTAGAGTCTGGTTTGTGTTTGCTTTCTGAAAAAGAAGAGCTGCTGTTGGGGCTTCTTCACCAGGTGGGAGGTGATCCCAGTCCAGGAGAGATCAGAGGAAATATAAATGCCTAGGACTTATGCTAGCCATGTTCTCCATACCTCCCTGTGCATGTAGAGGCAATATTTCCATACACTCAACTCATCAATTACTTGGACAAGACCCCTGCTCAATTGCTGTTGATACTGATGTGACAGGTCATTCATCCCTGGTGACATCAGACTCTACAATGCAACATTATAACAGCAATAACTTGTGCAATAAATCATGTGCAATTACTATTTGATACCCTGTGCAATAACCTGTTTTTATATTTGATATCAAGCACAATAGCTATATATAAATACCCATCTCTACAAATACCCATTTAATACCCTGTGCAATAACCCTGTATAATAATCCTGCTAAATAAGTGACTTCAGCTTTTATATACATATTTGGACGCACTGTGTATACCCCGTGCACCTTTTCCTCCTTTCAGCACCTTTTTCTTCTTTTTGACTATTGAGCCAATGTAACGAGTACATTTCTACACTGTGAGATCAAAAAAGAAGATAATTTATTCAATCAATAGTCTTTTTTATGAGACATGAATGCACAAGGCGTATGAGAATTTGGAGATGTTGTGTCACCTAACAATCACATATTCTGAGATTAAGATTTTAGACTACAGTACAAAGTTCCTCATGGTAGCTTTACAAGTGTATGGTAACATGTATACTAGAGTTCATTTATGTCTAGGGGATAAGGCTGGGTTTGTGTTAGTTTTACAGTTTGCAGTTCATGTAAAATCTCTGCCTCAGCCACATCACATCACACGTATCAATCAATGACAAAAGAGGTATCCCCGTTGCGTCAGTATCTGATGTACACATGCCTTGACCAACTCCCAGTTTTCAATGAGTTGGGTGTGAGACTGCTGGGACTGAGTGTTCAGTCTTCCTGAACCTCCTGTAGTCCACTATGACATCCTTGACCTTGCTGGTGTTCAGTCTAAGGTTGTTCCTAAAGTAGCCATGTGTCAGATTGTAGACATGTTTATTGTGGTGGGTCTAATGTAATACTAAGGGGTCTTTACTGGCCTTTTAATACGAAAGGCCAGTAAAGAGCCAAATAGCCAATAATAAAAAAAAAAAATCTGTCCTTCCAACCATTACAAAGATAAACATGCAGTTTGATCAAGTCTAATTGGACTTGAACTGTAAATGAACCGGATCCAGTTCACCCTTCCTTTATCGGTGTTTCTATCTGACATGCCAGGTCTTCAGAAAAAGTGGGGTTTTGCAAATAAACTAGATGTCTATCGCAACATTAAATAAATGGCTTTTATTGTGACAGATTATGTCATCCATACAAGGTGTATGGATGACATAATCAATGTAACCCCAGGTTAAGACTGAACTTTTTAGCAAAAAAAAGTTCAGAAAGAGCTGTCCTAAGAAAAGAAAGCTAAACACCTGAACACTTTAAAAAAATATGTGCAAAAAAGGTGCTGTGGGTATTTCCCCCCTTCAAAGACTCTAGGAACCTAATTACAACACGTGTTTTTTTAAATAAAACAAGTTTTGTGTAATATCCAAAGGATAAGCTCCAACAGATTGTGTAAAACAGAATGTTATAGGATTCCCCTGTCTGCATGCTTCAGACAAGATTTATTGATTCTGGGAATCAATAAATCTTGAAGATTTAATTAGTTTCCTCCTATAATGACTTTGATTTTGTTTTAGTTTAAACATTTTTATGGACTCTTGGATTGCAGCCACTGTGATCGCAAAACTAAAAAGGTTTAACATTTGTGACACACATCTTCAAATTCAACAGGATATGCACATGAACGAAAATATTTTCAGCCATCCTACATTTGTAGGCTATGTGATGTTTTTTGAGTAAACTAGGACTGAGAAGATGTGCTTTCTGTGGTCATTTAAAGTCCTTTACTCTGGTTGAATTCCAGTTGCATCAGCAATAAA